TAAATGGTGTTTTAATTGTAATTGTTTTTGTAAGTTTTGATTGAAGTGAAACATTATCTGATGGAAAATTAATATAACCAGGTAGAATTATAAAATCATTATATGTTAAACCATCATTATGTCGAAATAATTTTGTCAATGTTAAACCATCAGATACTTCATCATGATCCTCATTTTTATCAATACCATTATGATGCATGTCTTTTTTTTCGATTTAATAATAATGATAGTCTGTAAAGTAAAAAGTAAATTGAGAAGGAATATATATATGTATAAAAGAAAGAACGTGATAGAATGTTATCTTTAACATTGATTGTAGCTCAAACTATGTGATTGCGATTGGTTGATGATAATTATACAAACAAAAAAACAGAATAATATTAGTGATTTGAAATATATATATATAGAATAACGATACATTTCTTAGCTTTTTGAAATCAATTATTATAGAGAAAAAGATATTGCTGTTGAAAATTATCGTTAACATTAGAATTTGAAAAATTTATTTACATACTCATCAATATTTTTTTCACATTGTTCTTTATCGAGGGATATACATAATATTTCAATTTGATATTTATCAAGTACAAAAGATTAAGAAAGATTTTACAAGTGCCCATTGATAAGATATGAGTAAATAGATAAACAGTGAATTATACATTTGTTATTATTTGAATGTATTATACTTATTGAGAATTAATCAAGATATTTTTGTTTGACTTCGTCGTAAAAAACTAGCTTAATGTCTGTCATTCATCAATAATCTTTGAGTACCATCCCTAGGCGAACATCTTACAAATGAAATTTTTACGAGAAAAGCATATGCAGAGTTATCCTCAGTGGAAAACGAACAGATAAGATCGATCCCAGTTGAAAAATCTCTCTATCGAATATGACCTTGATAAAAATCTGAGTGATGCTAAACGAATTCTTTGGATCTACAATTTATAAGAATCACGGTTTTATGTAATAATCGTATAATGAGCAAAAATAACGAGGCTTTGATAAATGATGCATAATTATAGACTAAATTAATCGAAATACTTATCATCAAACAATCTAATAACAAAGAAATTATTAAAGCATAATTAGTTCATTATTTTTCTATGACAAACTCCGATACTAATATAATATGTACATATTGATCTAGCCTTTCCAGAGATTTTTTTCTTTTGTATTAACTATGATTAATCTTTTATTGGATATATCTGATGTTGAATCAAAAATGTCAGGAATTTATATTAGAATAAGTTGACAGCTCTCATTGGCTAAATTAAAATCGTAAGTTTACATCAACGTAGCAATATAATTAACATGTCAAAGAGTTATACTTTATTATTAAGTATAAATAATTAATGATGAAAAGGAGAAAACTGAAGTAAGACTAATGATGTAAAATAGTCACAATGTATTGTCATTCAAACTATTTCTTTGATAGAAAAGAATAAACCGCTAATGGACATGTGTGAAATTCAATATTCTCTTGAAAATAGGAGTATGAATAACAAAACGGTCGATGAAAGAATTCTATTTGGATATTATTATAACTGATTTTGTCAAAAAAATAGCTGAAAGGGATATATTAAAAATGAACCTTTTAGTAGTTCTGAAAATATAACAGATTTTCATAAATATTCTAGACGTTGAATTTTACTATATGAAACCATCATTAAAAAGAAGTTGTATATAGTAATTGCTTCAAACTTCAAGGTAGAAAGGCATGTTTAATTAGTATTTTTTTTCTCGAAGATACAGATTCATATTAAACTATCTATCAATCTCTTTTACTACTTCGTTCAAGAATCTAATTCATTATTTTCAGCCAAAAATACAATAAGATTTTTTTTCTGCCACTCAATACCTTCTCAAGGAAGGAAACACATAATTGAATAGTAGATTGTTTCATTCTCTCTCCCTCGATATAGAGTAATGTTATCGCAGATGTTTTCTCTATAGAAAAAATTCTTTTACTTTTGGTAAGTATTATTACATACATAAAGTAGAGTATTTTATATCAGATCTTTCTAGATATAGTTGTGATGCATGCTAATAAAGTAAAGAGACTAATTATAGATATCAAATAATGAGATAGAATATTGTTCGTGTAAAAATAAACATTTTTGTTCATCTATTATGAGTAATATAGTATTCGTTATATAGCGTGATTATAGCTTTTTTTTCTTTCCACGTTTTTACTTGTAAAAAGTGATTTTCTCTAGAGTCTTGTTGTAATAATTAGCATCTGTTTCTAATAGTTATATATACCGTATACTTTACTATAGAAAAACTTCAGTTATCGCTAATCGATAATGAAATATTGACAGTAGGAATGAATAGAACTAAGATAGAATCATTGTGGGAATAATTTAGAGAAAAAATAATTTGAAACAGCAGTTGTTCTATATGTTAAAAAAAGCGTTTTTTTAGCATTGTCAATAGAAAATTTTTTTATTGGTCGTTCAATCTTACCAATGATGATCTTTTTTTCAGCTGTATTTATTTTAAAATCTTTTTCTTTTCCTCTTCTGTTGACAGTTAGCAATTGTCATTCATTTCTGTCAGATAAACTTCTTCAAAAGCAATATGCCTATACCATTAGAAAAAATTAAAGTCGTTGAAGATGAAATTGAAAGACTTGATCATGATGATAAAAATCGTCGTATAGCAATAACACCACCAATACAAGATTTTTCATTTTTAAATAAACCATCACATGTAAAACGTTCGGTTCATTATGATATTGAATCAATAAATACACCTGAACATGAACCATTAAGATCAATTACTAATACTGAACAACCATCGATTGATAATGTTCTTCGTCGACGATATATTGCACATTGGGGTCTACCAGGTAAATAAAATAAAAAGCAATTAATGATATTGAAGTCTATCTTTAATTTTATAGAGTGGCTTGGTGATAATCATTTTTTATTACAAAAACATCGACCACCTGCTAATTCAGTTCGTGAATGTCTCATATCAGTTGCATCAATACATAGTGAAACCGTTAATATTTGGACACATTTAATTGGTGCATTATGTGTTGCTGTAACATTTGCACTTTTTTTTATTGAAAATTATCAACAAATGGATATAAGTGATATTATATCCTTTAGTGTTTTTTTCACATCAGCAATATTATGTTTAAGTTTTTCAACATTATTACATATATTTATTAATTATTCACCACGTGTTCTTGTTACAGTTTCAAAACTTGATTATATGGGTAAGTTCAATGAAGAAAAAAGAATCTAGAACATATGTAAACTAATGACATTTCTAATCGAAAATTTCGTTTAGATAGTTATTATGTCTGAAGGGTATATGTGTAATAATATTAGTTGATATATGAAAATAAAAAAATAGCAAGATAGGAACTAAGAACAATTCCTTCCGCTACTTTTACAAATGAGTTGTCATAAAAAAAAGGAGGATATTAAAGAGCAAATAAAACTATTGAAGCATATAGACTTTGTTAAATATTTATATCCGGTTTCTTTTTGTACAAGGAAAATTATGATTAAGTTCCAAACTAACATCAATAAACGATTGATTTCTATTTCATATTCATGATAGATAGTTTCATTTCCTGTATGATTCTGCATGGAATCATAGCAGGCAGGCAGTCATGTTAATTTGACTTACAAATATCTCTATAATCTTATTTAAAAGTATTTCTTCGATAGAATAACTCTGTCTACACATGCGGAGAAATTTAATTTACATGTCAGAAAAAAGTACTTTTCTTTCTGAAATCTCTAAACGATGTAAATTAGCAAGCAACACAAGGTCAAACGTAAGAGAACATCTCGACAAGATAAAATCTTGTGTCTTCCGGTCTTTTAATCAATTAGTCTGCTTGAAATCATAGATTTTTGTATATTAATTAGTTTTTCTTCGTTTACGTTCGATAACTATCAAATTTACTAAATGCATATTTATTTTTTTCTTCCATTTAGGTATAAATATATTAATATTTGGGTCAATGGTACCTGTTGTACATTACTTTTTCTATTGTCAATTTCGATTAAAAGCTATTTATATAAGTGTACTTCTTGTACTTTCAATTGGATCAATGATTGGTACAAGTAGTGCAGCATGTTCTAAACCACGTTTTCGTCCATTTAAAGCTATTTTATTTATTGCTCTTGGTCTATATGGTAGAAATAAGAATTATTACTTTTTTTTCTAAATAATATTTTTCATTAATTAGGTGCTGCTCCAGCAACGCATGCTTGTATACTTCATGGATTACCACGTATGTTCGAAATGGGTTTTTTATATTTATGTATTATGGCTGTAGCATATATCGGTGGTGGTATTGCTTATGCTGTTCGAGTACCAGAACGATTTTTTCCTGGTAATAAAAATAAATTATATTCATCAATATTTGTTTTTTCTTTTGTTTATTCTAGGTCGTTTTGATATTGTTGGACAAAGTCATCAAATTTTACATGTGGCTGTAATTGCAGCTATTTATTTACATTTTTACGGTATTTGTTGTCAATTTCATTATGTTGTTCGAACAGAACAATGTCTTATGCCAATAACTTTAAAACTTGGTATTACTGATTTATCCATTTCGTCTTAGAAATTAATTTTTGCAAGCAAAAAAAGATAATATTTTTCGTGATTTTATGTTACTATCTAGCTTTTCTTTTTGTCTTTCAATACGGTT